ATAAAGAGATTTTAATATGTAGTAATATCTTTGGTTAGGCATATTCTCCCTTGGTAATTGTTAGAGTATATTCATATTTGTGGTCTGTTTTTGTGTCAGACCACTCAAAGTCCAAAGAAAGTGACATGTTCTGGAAAATAACATTAGCTAGCATCTGTGGCTAACCTGTGATCATGGTTTGGGTCTAAACTAATAAATAATATGTTGATCTTACTATGCCTACATAAATATTATTCAAAGATGAGTCATGTAAAGTGATATGATTACATTTCTTTTCTTGGTCAATTTGCCTCATTTTTTCCCACTGCTTTGTACTCTAATTCCTTATTAAATTCACCTCCCCTCTCCGAGAAATAGGAATCTCTTGCTATGTTCAAATATGCTACTTTTCTTGGAGACAGTCCCCCTAGAGCCCTCTATTATCCAGTTGTAAGTGGGATTGCTCCTTTCTGGGCCTCTTGCCTAGCTGTCATTTAACAACAACAACGTTCCCTTCAACAACGTTCTTCAACAATCTTCACCTTTCTGAGGCTGAAGCCTCTGTGTTGTGGAAATTTCCTCATCCCTTTTTTCTTTTCCTTGTTGTATTCTTATTTTTGTGCAGCAAATGCACATTTAGGTTGTCATTTACTTTCTAGAAGAGCGTGAGAGAGAAACTTTATGGTTCTTTGCAGTATTTATAAAAATATCTTCATGTGTCCAATTTGAATGATCTCATCTACCTCAGATGTAGACCTCCACGTTAGAAATCATTTTCTCTTATAACTTTGAAGGCATTGCTCCACTGTTCATCAGCCTCAGACATTTCTGTTGAGAAGTCCAACCCATTCTGATTCTCAGTCATGAGCATAGGACCTGTTTCTTTTACCTGGGACCCTGTGCATGAACTTAGTCTCCAGTGCCCTCTCCTGCTTAAAAGTGGGGAAGAACCGAGGCTGAAAGTACCAACTCTCTAATCAATTTTTTTTTTAAGGATTTTTATTTGACAGAGACAGAGAGTACACAAGAAGGGGGAGCAGTAAGCTCCTGGTTGAGCAGGAAGCCCAGGGTGGGACTCGATCTTAGGACCCCGGGATCATGACCTGAGCCTAAAGCAGACACCTAACCAACTGAGCCACCGAGGCACCCCATCTCTGATCAAATGCTTGGTCTTCCTGACAACCAGCCTCCATCATGAAGCTATCTAGGGCTTCTTCCCCCTCCAGCTCTTAGCCACCTTATTAGCATAACAAGGAAACATCTATCACTCCTGAAACTCAAAGGGTTTCTTTCTTTCTTTCTCTCTCTCTCTCTTCTTTTTTTAAATTATTAACACATAATGTGTTATTTGTTTTAGGGGTACAGGTCTGTGATTCATCAGTCTCACACAATACACAGTGCCCGCCACAACACAAACTCTCCGCATCAAAGGGTTTCTGAAGTTCTGATCCAGGAACTGGGGACAAAGACTATCTGTACACACACCACATACTGTTATGGCTTTTGACAAATGCTAACATCATTGACTACCATTATGATATCATGCAAAATATCTTCACCACCCTGTGTTTCACCTGCTTATCCTTCTCTTTATTCCCCGAACGTCTGGCAACTATCTTTTACTGCCTCTATAGTTTTACTTTTTCCATAATGTCATATAGTTAGAATCATATAATATGTAGCTTTTTTAGACTGCTTTCACATAGCAATGTGCATTTAAGTTTCCTCCATGTCCTTCCATGACTTGATAGCTCGTTTCTTTTTATTGCTGAATATTATTCCATAGTATGGATGTACCACTGTTTATCCATTCACGTATTGAATGATATGTTTGCTTCCAGTTTGGGGCAATTATGAATAAAGCAGCTATAAATATTCATGTACAGAGTTTTTTTTGTTTATTTTTAAAGATTTATCTATTTACTTGAGAAAGAGCATGAGCAGGAGAGGCAGAGGGAGGGGGAGAGAGAATACCAAGCAGACTCCACGCAGTGTGGGGCCCGCCTCGGGGCTTGGTTTCACAATCCAGAGATTACCACCTGAGCAGAAACCAATTCAGAAGCTTAAACAACTGTGTCACCCAGGGACCCCTGCTATGTGCAGAGTTTTGCGTGGACATAAGTTTTCCACTCATTTGAGTAAATATCCATGAGCGTGATAACTGGTTCATATGGCAAGACTATGTTGATCTGTGTAAGAACTTCCAAATTACCTTCTAAGATGGCTGTACCATTTACATTCCTACCGGCAATGAATAAGCTTTCTGGTTGCTCCATATCCTCAACGGCATTTGGCGTTGTCAGTATTTTGGATTTTAGCTTGTTCCCAGGTGTGTAGTGGTATTTCATCGTTGTTTTAATTTGTATTTCTCTAATGTCCTATGCTGTTGAGTCTCCTTTCATATACTTACTTGTCATTTGTGTATCTTATTTAGTGAGGTGTCTTTACAGATCTTTTGCCCAGTTTTGTTTTTTAAGATTTTATTTATTTATTTGACACAGAGAGAGAGAAATCACAAGTAGGCAGAGAGGCAGGCAGAGAGAGAGGGGGAAGCAGTCTCCCCACTGAGCAGAGAGCCCGATGTGGGACTCCATTCCAGGACCCTGAGATCATGACCTGAGCTGAAGGCAGAGGCTTAACCCACTGAGCCATCCAGGCACCCTCTTTTGCCTAGTTTTAAATTGGGTTGTTTTCCTATTGTTGAGGTTTTGGTGTTCTTTGAATATTTTGAATACAAGCCCTTTATCAAATATGTATTTTGCAAATATTTTCTCTAGTTTGTGGCTTGTCTTTTCCTTTTCTAAACAGTGTCTTTCACAGAGCAGAGGTTGTAAATTTTAGTGAAGTCTAACTTACAAATTTTTTCTTTCATGGATTGTGTTTTTGTTGTATCTAAAAACTATGACTAAACCCAAGGCCACCTAGATTTTCTCCAATGTTATCTTTCAGAAGTTTAGTTTTGCGTTTTAAATTTAGGTCAATGATCCATTTCATTTTTTTTTTAAGACGGTATTTATTTATTTCAGAGAGAGAGAACACAAGCCGGAAGGAGGGGCAGAGGATGAGGAAGAAGGAGACTCCCTACAGAGCAGAGAGCCCAATGTGGGGCTCAATCCAAGGACTCTGGGTTCATGACCTGAGCTGAAGGCAAACACTTGGCTGACTGAACCACCCAGGCACCTAAGTGACCCATTTCAAATTAAGTTTTACAAAAGGTGTAGAGTCTATGTTTAGACTTTTTTTTTTTTTTTTTTTTGCTAGCATGTTTGTCAAAGATCCATTGAATACATTTGTGTGAGTCTATTTCTAGGCTCTGTATTCTGTTTCAATGATCTATTTTTCTAGTCTTTTGATAATACCACACTGTTTCAAATACTGTAGTTTTACAGTAAGTTTTAACATTGGGCACTGTCAGGCCTGTGACTTTGTTTACCTTCTTCAGTATTGGTTGGCTCTCCTGGGACTTTTGTCTTTCCATAAATACTGTAGGATTAGCTTGTTGATGTCCAAAAAATAACTTTCTGGGATTTTAATTGAGATTATGTCAAATCTACCAAGTTGGGAAGAAGTGACATCCTTTTTCTTTCTTTCTTTCTTTTTTTTAAGATTTTTATTTAATTATTTGAAAGAGAGAGCACAAGACAGAGAGGGTCAGAGGAAGACACAGATTCCCTCAGAGCAGGGAGCCCAATGCAGGAATTGATCTCTGGGCTCCAGGATCATGACCTGAGCAGAAGGCAGTCGCTTAACCAACTGAGCCACCCAGGCACCCAGAACTGACATCCTGACAATATTCAATCTTCCTACTCTTAAACATGGAATATCTTTCCATTTACTTGTATCTGATTCCTTTCATCCAAACTTTATAGTTCTCCCATATAGATTTTGTACATGTGTTAGATTTATACATAAGTATTTCATTTTTTTGTGCTAATATAAGTATTATTGTGTCTTTAATTTCAAATTCCAATTGTACATTGCTGAAAAATATAAGCAAGTAGCTCTTGTGTATGTTAAACTTGTATCTTACAACTTTGCTATAATTGTTTATTAGTTTTAGGGGTTTTTTTGGTTAATCTTTTGGGATTTTCTAAATAATCATGTCACATGTTTGTTTTTAAAAAACAGGCATATTTCTTCCTTATCAATCTACTGTCTATTTTTAAATGTCTACTTTATCAGCTAGACCATAAACTCTCTGAGGGCGAGTTTTCATCTTGTATACTTGTCATCTCTTTTATTCTCAGATTTTTATTAGTTTTGCCACAGTAAATTGTTACGGCACTAAATAGAAATAAAATGCTTCTAAGTTAATGCTTGGGTAATTTAGTGCCTCAGTTTCTCTGTTGCTAACAGGGATGTTGTATCTGTCTTACAGACTGGTGTAAGGATTTCAGACTACATACATCAAGTTCTTAGGACAGCATCTGGAACCTAGCCAGCCCTCAAGAAATATAGTTTTTTAGTGTTTGCTTTAGGATATGGGTTACTGCTTTTGCGCAGCACCATACATAACCTTGAACAGCCAATGAACTTTAGCTCAGTTGGACAAAGAGTTGGACAAAGCCGAAGAATAAAGTTGTAACAAAGAGGAGAGGAGTTGAGAAGGTTTAGGGGAAGCAATGTTTCTGAGCCTGTGAGTGGAGAGGTAAAGTGAGAGGGTCCAGATAAGTAGGAGTAAAGTGAAGGAAGTCCAAGGCTGTGAAGGAAATCTCCAAAGGATAGGTTCTCTGGACTCTTCTTTGTATTGTAGGTGATGTGAACCAAACGACCCTGAGCACACAGGAACACAGCAGAGGGCAGGTAGCACCGGCCCTCCCATACCACCCCTGGGCAGGGTGGAGAAGGTGGGGAGCATAACCTCGGGCAGCGGGTGGGCGACTTTACCTTCCCCAACCCTAGCACTAACAGGAGCAGCCCACGCCCTTCCCCCGTCCCCCAGTACCTCCGGCCCGTTACCATAGGGACTGGGTCACCTGACCTGGAGCCGCGCGCCTGCGCGGGCGGAAAGCGGGGGCGGCACCGTGACGCGCCTAGCAGGCGGTCCTCGGGCGCGCGCTGCTCTTCTCTCTTCGGGTCTCGGAAGTCTGTGCCAGTTATCGGAGGCGGCGGGGCGGCAACGGCGGTGAGCGGGTCCTTGTGGCCTAGGTGAGCAGCCGTGGGGAGAGAGGGGTGTTCCGGCCCCGTCCCGGGTGCGGGGACTAGGGGCGGAGGCGAGGGATCCCCGGGTCACCTAGCGGAGAGCGTCTGGGTCTCAGCGGTTTTCGGGAAGCGGCGGCGACGTCCGCTCCTCAGTGGTCTCCGCGCCCGTCCTTGCGCCCTCCGGAGCCCGGGGCGAAAGTTTGCGCGAGCCGCTAGCTCCGCCTGCGACCCTTGAGTTTCGTGGTCCCGCCCGGGACTGGGGCGAAGGGTGAGGGGGCGGTGAGGGGGACGGCGAGGGGTTGGCGGGGTAAGGGGCAGCGCTGCGGCCCGGCCCGCGGCGACGCCGTCAGCTGCCGCCTCAGCTCGGACTCCTCGTTCTGGTCCGTCTCGAGCGTTTTTGTTCCTCTTGGCTGGGATCGATGGGGACCGGTGGAGGAAGAGCGGCTGGCTGTGGCTCGTCACGGTGCTCTGCTTTCCTTGGACTGTACCCAGTCACCTTCCTGGGTGGCTTAGTCGGACCGCCCTGGATTTGGAGGGGGGAAGGTGGTGTCTGTTGAGTGGGCCAAGCCTTGACTTTCTGGAAGGGGGTTGGGAGAGGTCGTTCGCTGCGCGCCTATTCTTGGAGAAGTTGGAGAAGAGGGAGAAACGTTCCAGCAGGGTGTGTGCAGAAGGAAGTATCCCTTGAGATGTAATGACTCAGAGTTTTCATTTCAGGATTTCCTTGTAATAATGGGAAAGTGAAGGCATATGGATGTGGAAAGTTGTCCTTTTCACCGAAGTGGAATTATTTAATTATGGAGCCTTCCAGTGTGCCAGGTTTTGAAAGAAATTTCTAGGTTATCTGGTCTGTATATATTATCTGCATACGTATTTATTGTGATTTTTTTTTTCTTGTGCTCGCTTCGGCAGCACATACATTGTGATTTTTTTTTCTTTATGTACGTACATTTCTTGAGAAGTACTTGGTTTACCAAACTCTTAATATCTACGTGTTTGAAAGAAAAAAAACAATTGATTAAAAAGGAAAATTACATTGAAAACAGCTGCAGGCTGTTAGCTTTACCTTCAGTGTATGTGATTAAAATACAGATTTTCCATTCTTTACTTTTTCTATTTGAGGTTGAGGGAAATGGTAAAAAAAAATAATAATAATAAAGAAGGAAAGAAAAAGAAAAAAGTTTTTTCATGTTTTTTGTTCCACTTCAGTTCTGTAAATTTTTGTCCTTTAAATGGTACAGAAATATTACGGATCAAGTGGTTTGTGCTATAGAATGAAAATAGTTAAGTGGAATGTCCTTTAAAATGTTCAGGAAATAGTCCATTATAATCCAGATTTAATTTCGACAGCATTAAGTTTTAGTTATTTTGAGCATTATAAGGATACAAAAATCTTTACCAGAAGAGGATGAATTTACAAATAGTTGGCAGTTGAATGTACTCTTCAATAAAACCATTCCTTAAATTAAACATGAGTCACCTATTTTTTTTCCTGTTTTTGCCAGATTTAGGTATTTTTTAAGGTAGTAAATGGCAAGATTTTCTAAAAAAAAAAAAAAAAAAATTCCTCTGAACAACTTTAAAATATGTCCTGCATCTAGTAATAGTTATATTAGCATTTATTAGTTTTTTTTCCAAGTGCTGCCAACATAATTTGTACATTTATTTGATTTTTGAGGCAGTAAACAGTAACGGCTCAGAATGTAAGCAATAAAAAAGGTGTGCCGTGTAGTCTCCTTCCTTTTAAAGGTCCTCCAGCCAACCACAGTTCCTTCTTATAGGAGTCAACCCCTTTATGTTTTTTAGGTATCCATCCAGGGATATTTGATACCTATGCAAACATATATTCTCCCCCTTCCTCTTTTCTTTTTTACTGTGGTAAAATACACATAGCAAAATTTATCATCTCAACCATTTTTTTTTTTTTTTTTTTTTTTTTTAAAGGAGTTTTTTTTTTTTTAAAGATTTTATTTATTTATTTGACAGAGAGAGATCACAAGTAGACAGAGAGGCAGGCAGAGAGAGAGAGAGAGAGAGGGAAGCAGGCTCCCTGCTGAGCAGAGAGCCCGATGCGGGACTCGATCCCAGGACCCTGAGATCATGACCTGAGCCGAAGGCAGCGGCTTAACCCACTGAGCCACCCAGGCGCCCTCATCTCAACCATTTTTAAGTATGCAGTTCAGAAGTTTAAATACATTGACGGTGTTGTACAACCATTACCACCAGCCGTCCTTAAAAACCTCTTCATTTTGTAGAGTGGAAGCTCTATACCCATTAAACAAGAACTCCCCGTTCTCTCCTTCCCCCAGCCTTTGGTAATCACCATTATACGTTTATGATTTTGACTAAGTACCTCATATAAGTGGGATCATACAGTATTTGTCTTTTTGTGATTGGTGTATTTCACTTAACATAATGTCTTCAAGATTCAGCCAGCATGTTGCAGAAATTCCTTCCATTTTAAAGCTGAATAATGTTCCATTGTATGTATATACCACATTTTGTTTGTCCATTCATTTATAGATTGACACTTGCATTACTTCCATGTTGGAGCTTTTGTGGATATTGCTGCTATGAACATGGGTGTCCAAATATCTCTTTAGACATAGATTTTAATTCTTTTGGATGTATACCCAGAAGTGGAATGATGGATCATATAATTAATTTTTTTTTTTGATTTTGGTTTTTTTTGGTGGATCCACCATTCTGTTTTCTATAGTGGCTGTACCATTTTATATTCCCATAAACAGTGCACAAGGGTTTCAATTTATTCACATTCCTACTAATTGATACTTTTTTTTAAAATTCCAATATAGTCAACATATAGTGTCATATTAGTTTCAGGTGTACATTATAGTGAATAAACAATACTGAATATCACCCATTGCTCATTAGGACAAATATATTCCTTAATCCCCATCACCAGTTTCACTGATTGCCCAGCCACTTCCCTTCTGGTTACCATCAGTTTGTTCTCTATAGTAAAGAGTCTGTTTTTTAGTTTACCTCTTTTTCTCACCTTTGCTCATTTGTTTCTTAAATCCCACATTCCACATATGAGTGAAATCATGTGGTATTTGTCTTTCTCTTAACTTATTTTGCTTAGCCTGCTCACTAGCTTTATCCATGTTGTTGCAAATGGCAAGAGGTCATTCCTTTTTATGGCTGGATATTCCTCTGTGTGTGTATATCCCGTATCTTCATTAATCTATTGATAGACATGGATTGCTTCCATAGTTTGGCCATTGTAAATAATGCTGCAATAAACACAGGGGTGCATGTATCTCTTTGAATTCATTGTTTTGTACTTTGGGGGTAAATACCCAGTAGTGCAATTACCGGATTATAGGGTAGTTCTATTTTTAATTTTTTTAGGAACTTCCATATTGTTTTCCAAAGTGGCTGTAGCAGTTCGCATTCCTGCCAGCAGTGCAGAGGGTTCCTTTTTCTCACATCATGACCAACACTTGTTTTTTTTTTTTTTCTCTTTTTTATTTTAGCCATTCTGATAGTTGTGAAGTGATATCTCATTGTGGTTTTGATTTGCATTTTCATGATGAAGAGTGATGCTGAACATTTTTTCATGTGTCTGTTGACCATCTGGATGTGTTTTTTATGGAAATGTCTGTTTTTGCCCATTTTAAAATTGGATTATTTGTTCTTTGGGCTTTGAGTTAAGTTCTTTATGTATTTTGTATACTAACCCATTATCAGGTATGTCATTTGCAAATCTCTTTTCCCATTCAGTAGGTTGCCTTTTAGTTTTGATGATCGTTTCTTTTGCTTTGCAGAAACTTTATTTTGATGGAGTCCCAATAGTTAATTTTGCTTTTGGTTTTCTTGTCTCAGGAGACTTACCTAGAAAAATGTTGCTATAGCCCATGTTAAGAGTCATTACTGCCTGTGTTCTCTTCTAGGATTTTTATGGTTTCAGGTTTCACATTTAGGTCTTTAATTCATTTTGAATTTATTTTTTGTGTATGGTGTGAGAAAGTGGTCCAGTTTCATTCTTTTGCATATATCTGACTAATTTTCCTTCAATACTTGGTTTTTGTTTTTTTGATAGTAGCCATTCTGAGGGGTGTGAGGTGGTATCTCCTAGTTTTGATTTGCATTTTTGTAATGATTCATGATTTTGAGCCTATTTTCATGTGTTCATGGCCATTCTTGTATCTTTTTTGGAGAAATTTCTATTCAGTTTTTTTTGCCAGTATTTTTTTTTTCTTGTTGAGTTTTAGTAGTTCTCTGGATATTAAGGGATTAATCTCTTATTGGATATATGATTTGCAAATATTTTCTCCCATTCTGTGGGTTGCTTTTTTTGTTTTGTTGATGCTGTCTTTTCATGTACAAAAATTTAAAATTTTCATGAAGTCCGTTGTGTCTAGATTTCTTTTGTTACCTTTACTTTTGGTATCATGTCCAGAGAAATCACTGGTAAATCCAAAGTCATGAATCTTCTGTCCTATGTTTTCTTCTAAGAGTTTTTATTGTTTTGGGTCTTAAGTTTAGGTCGTTTAACATTTTGAGTTAATTTTTGTAGTGTTAGGTAAAGGTCCACCTTCACGCTTTTGCACATGGATGTCCAGTTTGCTCAGCGCCGTTTGTTGAAAAGGCTTTTACTTATTGAATGGTCTTGTCACTCTTGTTAAAAATCATTTAACCGTGTGTGAGGGTTTATTTCTAGGCTTACTATTCTTTTCCATTGATCTATATGGCAGTATGCTAATATCCTACTGTTTTGATTAGTGTAGTTTTATAGTAAGTTTTGAAATGAGAAAGTATGAGCCTTCCACTTTTGTTTTTTTCAAGATTGTTTTGGATATTTGAGTTCTTAGAGATTTCATATGGATTTTAGGATGAGTTTTTCTGTTCCTGAAAAAAAGTCATTGTTATTTTCATAAGGATTCCATTGAATCTTGAGATCACTTTGGATAATACCGACATTTTAACAGTATTAAGTCTACCAGTCCATGAATGTGGGGTGTGCTTCATTTTATTTATATCCT